CTTTGTCTCTCTAACATACACTGCATCTATCTGTATTCTCTCTCTCTCTCTCTCTCTCTCTCACACACACACACACACACTTAGACAAAAAAGAGTGATTTAAAGTATACTGCTATTTTAAATCATTTTACTAAAAATTTGTAGCTTGAAAAAGTAAAGTATTAATTATTTCACAATATTCTTCTTTGACTAATGCAGGCAAAATACTGTATCTATATTTTAAAACAGATTTTATATTAGTTTGATCCACAAAGCACTCTTAAAATATACTTTGTGGCACTACTTTCTGTAATAAACTAATCTTCCTCATTTAAATTACAATAGTTGACAAGCACTTATATTTGGGGTAGGCAATTTTTGGAATTCATAAGCATGTTTGCAATACTAAGGAAATATCAAAATACAATTATTTTACTTATCTCACTACTGAGATAATTTTAAATTAATTTGTCACCCTTAGTATACATCTGGAAGCAAATTTCATGCCTCACTTAATCTAATTTACACTGACCCTGCATTAGAAAACTCTAATGTCTTTCAGAAAAGATCACAAGGCAGCTCGTTTCATTCAACCATCGCTGGCATGCAAGTTATGAATTAGGGTTAATACAGTAAATTGGAAGGACTAGAATTGATCTTTCACTGAAGGAAAAAAAATGCTTACACTCCTATTCCTGGGCGCCATGGTGGCTCAGTAATTAGAATGCAGTATTGCAGGCTTGAGATGTGTTAGAAAATATACTAACACATCTCAAAAGATTTAAAAGATTTGCATGGTACGTGAAACATTAAATATGTGATTTGATATTGAAAAACAAATGCACTATGGTGTGTATCTATCAGCTAAGTTTCAATTTTGGTTTCCTACACTGACTACTTAAGGTACTTAATGATAATAAAACATGGCATTGTAATATAAAAATACTCCCCTTATTGTTTTGATCTGGAGGAATAACTCAAGTTAATGCATATTATTAATATCTTGAAGTAAGAAACAGAAGTGGTTCAACTCACACCCACTTGGTATATAGTTTACATGATTTGTTCCTCATCTCAAATATATATCTCAAATATATATCTCAAATTTGGCTCAATTTGCAAATTTATTCTTATTAACTATGATATGGCCTGCAGGGAACAATTTTCTACTACATTACTGTGAAAATGGTACCCTTATATAATAGAAGGAAACTAGCAGGCACACCTAGCTGGGGAAAGGTCCTCAGCTGAAGAAAAATAGGATTCCTTCAATAATCTGTTACCTGCTGTGGGACTACAATTACCAGAATTCTAGTAGCAGTAGGTGTCATCCCTTAGTGTATGTGTGAGAGTGTGTGACAGTGTGTAAGTGCTACAGAATGTACGTTTCTCCATTTATTTCCTGATTTGCTAGTTATGTCAGGAAACTACAGTACAGTATTTTTCAGCGTATAAGACGCACCTTCCCCCCCCAAAAAAGGGGGTGAAAATTTGGGTCCATCTTATACACCAAATGTATAACCATCTTATACACCCATGCACCAGCCCCCACCCTTTGGCCTTTGCTCCCAGCAATTTACCTCTTTGCAGCAAAGGGGGCTTGCGGAGGCTTCAATAAACTATAGCAATCTCTACAGCCTCTAACAGCTGATGATCTGGAGAAACTGAAAGTGAAGCTAGCTGTTTGCTCCACATGGCAAATTGCTGAGAGGCAGATTATTTTTTCTTGTGCTAGTCGGACTGTTTGCTGCAAGGAGGTAAGTCAACTATAAATGCCTATAGAATGTTCAAATTATTAGACTTATTTTTTTAAAGACTACTTTATTATTGTTTTAGAAAACGTAACAAAATGAAGAAGCTTTTTAAAATAAATGCTTGATCTGAAGAGGCCCAATGCTATTGTTTTAAAAAGTGCTATTCTTTTAAATAGCAGAGAATAACTATACTTCCAGAAAGCACATTTTAGCAGCATTTGTACAAGTATAGCCTGAAATATAACACTACAAACAGTGCATATTGTCTGTACTGTTTGTTGCAAGGAGGCAAATTGCTGGGAGGCAGAGGCAGATATTTTCCCCTTGTTTCTTCCCCCAAAATCTAGGTCCATCTCATACCCCTGAGCGTGTTATACTCTGAAAAATATGGTAATTTCGGCTTTCTTGGTTGTGGCATGCTTCTCTCTGTTTCGCCTGCATTCTGCTATGGTTGAACACTGCAGAATAAAACACTTCTTGAAATTTCCCACATCTCCCTTGCCATTCTCTGACCTCCCATCTCATCTTTCTCATAATGAATTGGAGTTCTATTCTCTGAACACCTGGTCTTTTCCTCCACTGATTTGAATAGTATGATAAATTCTCATAAACTACTGCTACTTATTTGCTTGCTATGCACATTAGTACTCGTCACAAGTTGTCTTATTATTTTTTTAACTTTATGCCATTAGTCTCAAAGGTCAGTTAATAAATTGTATCAAATGAGTATTAATTATAGGGTTATTTTTGGGCTTAGAAGCTATAGTTTTAAGGTCCCAAAGAAAGAAGCAATTTGGGAAATCCTAGTTCATAATAACTGGAATAGCAGCATTGCCTATAGGGTTACAATTACTGAATATCACTTTGAATGTTCTTTCTATCTACTATATTGGGCTGCATTCTTGGAAATTTGTATGTCTATTACGGTAGTATATAAGAATCTGACTGTGTTTCCAGAGATTTATTTCAAGCTAGTGTTGAAGAACTGGAATTAACCTACCACAAAAACTAATTTTCATGGTAATGTCATCTTGCCCAGTGTGACTTAGGAATTCATTATATCTTTTACAACAATAAAACTGTCAAGAGATTATTTCAGAAACATGTTTTTTTCTCCCCAAAAGTGACCAGGCAACAAAACTGAAAAACTCAATAAACTGTTGAAGATAAAGTTGGGAGACAAGCCATAAAACACCATTAAAAACAGCCAAGAGCAATTAAGTCAGAGTCCAAAACAGATTCTGGAAATTGTCCAGGGATCAAACATCAAAGAGCTAAGAGGAGTCTGGCAACAAGATCAGAGGCCAATTCACAGGTATTGTCTCAGCACAGACTGCTTGATGTTGATGGTTTTTAAAGCCAAAACTTCTGGTATCTAGACCTTGGTTGCTGCCAATCAAAATTCTCTAAAGATAATTCTTCCTTGTAAATTGAATCTAACTTTCAAGTAAGCTTTTATTTGACTTTTTCCCAGGACCATTTCTAAATGGCCTAACTGGTCTAACTGACCATTAGTGGGCAGTTTTGATGTTGATCCTGAACATATACTTACCTCTATATCCTGAGATTGGGGAATAGTTGAAATTAATCTGGATCAAGTGAAGAACCTTTGTTCACAGAATGACTGAGTTTAAGAATTGCATTGTGGAAACAATCAAGAGTCTTAAAGGGCCTGAGGGAGTTATGAAATGGGAGTTATGAAATGGGAAGGGAGACCACTACGGATCAAATGGAGAACTCCCAAAGGCAAAAATCTATATGTAACTATTAGACTGCAACTAAACTGACATTACCAAGTTATTCTTTTTTTCTTGCAACAGCATATGCAGCCAAGTTGTTTGAAGTTGTGAATGATTCTTGTATCCTGTGAGGAACTCCTGTCAAAATTCATGTATTCGGATCTTTTTTATGCTACTTGTTTAGGTTTCCTTATAGGCACAGAGAGAATTCTGGCATAATGAACACTTTACATTCTGTGGATATTTTCATATTTTAGCTACTTAATTGTAATTGTGGTAGGCTGTAAAAAGCAACAAACACTGCATCTACTAAACAATACAAACACTACTGAGATCATCACCATACATTTGCTTTTGATTTAAGTGTTCTGAATTTCTTCATAAAAGTTTGCTTTTTTAAACAATCATTCATTTATTATTTAGTTTTTGAATATTACTATTTTTCTTTATCAGTTATGATGAACTGTGGAGATTATCAATGTTTTTACTATGTAAATACAGAAATGCAGTAAGTAAGAAATGTAGTTCATGCCTTCCTGTGTTTTCACTAACATGCCAGAATTAGGACTCTTCTGAATTTAGGAATTATTATCTGATTTGAGTATCTTGCCAGCTTGAAAAAAAGGTGTAACTACCTTGAAACACATCTGTGAAGTGAATCTGAACTCAATAAAGTCACAAATAGCACAGATCCTAGTCTAAAAATATAGTTTTCAACTAGATAGTGCAAAATGAGAGTATGGTCTAAAATCAATCATCCAGGCAAATACCAGTTCTCTTTTTTGATTATGTGTCATCAAGGTACTGTCAGCACTTAATGAGCACATAGGCAGACCTTCTCTACATGATTTGTCTCCTGCTCACCCTTCAAAGCTTTCAACAGTGGGAACTATTAAAGCTAATCTCCATTCCTTTAGAATCAATGCCTTCTATTTATAATTTAATTTAATGTCAATAGGAAGGCTACAGCAGGGGCTCACTTGTCCAGATTATTCCAAATAGCTGACAATAGTTTTTTTGAGGAGTTAACTATATTCTATATGGGCAATCGGAACAATGGCATGCATCACAGTAAATGCAATATTTTTAAATGTTTTAGAAAGCTTTGTTCCTTTCATCCTCATTGCAACAGGCATGTATGCAGTCAAGGCTCCTGTACCTTAAAGATCTCTTGATCTATGTGTTATGGAGGTTATTCATGTTCCAGCATGTGTGTAACTTACATGGGCTATAAAAAGAACTGGATAGCCCCAGGTATGCAAATGCTTCTGTTAACTGCAATAGAATTCACTATACTATTTACATACCTCTGTAAACATCCACTGCACGTCAATATTACAACTGTATATCTGAATTATATTGATATTTCAGAATATCAATTTTAGCACATAATATTTTGGAAGAACAAAAAGGACTGTATCTTCACATATTCTACCATTTCTGTATAAAAAGATCAGAACTTCCAACATACTTTGATCTTTTCCAGAATTCCAAGGAATCTTTCCTGTAGCCATAAACATCTCCTTACCTTCTAATGTAAGAACTGCCTGCTGTTCTTTCAGCACTTCTGGTTCATGGCTGAGCTCCATGTGCTCTTTGGTAATTTCACTAATGCTGGATATCTGTCCATTTTTATGTAAAATCTACATAGAGAAATAAAACACAAGAAGGAAAAAGGGAAAGAAAAATAATTGTCAGTATATAACAATCTTTTAATTACCCTTTTTTAGAAGAAAGAGAATGTATTTTAGAATGTGTCTTTTTCAGTTTAGAAATCATAAAATGTACCTCTGCGCCAGGTGGCTTGATTACAATTTCACAATTTTGAAAAACGTTTGTACATGTGGTAACACTTTCTAAAAAAATGATCCAGCTGAAGTATGTTCTAAACTGATCCATACCTCAAAATATTCATACACACTATATAAATACTAATCCTACACACACACACACACACACACACACACACACACATTTTTAATAGAAGTTTTAAAAGAGAACATAATAGAAGTTTTAAAAGAGAACATAAAAACTAACAAACTAATTTGCTGGTATCAGCTTTATCAAAATGTATTCTTTCTAGCCACGAACACTGTGTTAACAAATACAAACATAAAGACAGCCCAATCATCAGCAGAAAGAATTAACAGATGATATCTTTCTCTGAAACAGAGGGCAGTAAATTAAAACAGTCATATGCGGTATCTCTTATTTTATGTATTTGCATCCTCCCTTTTTACAAATAACTCAAGGTGGAAACATATCCAACACACCTTCCCTCTTCCTATTTTCCTCACAACAAGCACCCTGTAAGATGAGTTGGGCTGAGTTACTAGCCCAAAGTCACCCAGCTGGCTTTCACATCGAAGGTGAGATTAGAACTCACCATCTCCTGCTTTCTAGCCTGGTGCCTCTGGCAGACGTTCATTTTAGTTAATGTTACAGAAGTTCTTGCCANGTCATCTCCGTTTCAAAGCTGAAGAGCCAGCGCTGTCCAAAGACGTATCCATGGTCATGTGGCTGGCATGACTAAACGCCAAAGGGTCACGGAGCGCTGTTACCTTCCCACCAAAGGTGGTCCCTATTTTTCTACTTGCATTTTTACATGTTTTCAAAGTGCTAGGTTGGCAGAAGCTGGGACAAGTAACGGGAGCTCACTCTGTTATGTGGCACTAGGGATTCGAACCGCCGAACTGCCGACCTTTCTGATCGATAAGCTCAGCGTCTTAGCCCCTGCGCCACCGGGTCCCTATTTATTTTTATTTGTACAATAAAAGAGACCAAATTTTATTTACTGATCCAAGTTATTATCTTTTCAGTTCCTGAGAAAGAGAAAAGAAATTTTGAAAACTTTCCAGGTTGAGAATATCTGAATGTTCTTCCATTGTGTGGGAAAAGGGTGATTACTGTAACTGTCAAACGTTTGTTACCAAGAAAATGAAACTGCTAGATGCATTGGGTCTTAAAAACAAATGCATTTAGTTGTAGAAACATCAAGGAATGCCCTGTGTCGTCTCCCCTAAGGAAGTTCATCTAATGAGACCAAGAAGAGGGGCCTTCTCTATGGTAGCTCCCTCCCTGTGGGACTTCATCCCCAAAGAAATAAGATTGACCCCCATTTTAGTCCTCTTTCACAAGGACTGGTTTTGCCCGTGGAACCCAGAGTGTGATGGAGCCACTCAAGTGGCTTGTTTGATTGGTTGTTGTCGCAGGGGTTGGGGTGAGGTAGTGGAGCTTATATCTCTTCATTATTTTTTATATAATATTTTTTTAATCTTTGAAAGCCACCCAAAATTTAAGGATGATGAGTTGGGTAGCCGTATAAATTTTCTTAAATAAATATCCTAATCTTTCCTCCCTTTTAATACATATGGTTGGAGAATTCTTTTGAGAAAATCTCATTTTGGTTTGTTTGGCTGTTAAAACATTCACAGACTAATAAGAGTGGCACACACACACACATATACACACAGAGAGAGAGAGAGAGAGAGTACTGTAAAGGTTTTAGACACGTGTGAAAAAATGCTGTAAACGAAGAATGTTTTCAGAAATATAAATAATGATTGTTTATTTCTGTCAATTTTCAAAATGCAAAGTGAGCGAACAAAAGAAAAATCTAAAATCAATATTTGGTGTGACCCCCCCTTTGCCTTCAAAACAGCAGCAATTCTCATAGGTACACTTGCACAAAGTCTTTGAAGGAACTCGGCTGATAGGTTGTTCCAAACATCTTGGAGAACTAACCACAGATCTTCTGTGGATGTAGGCTTTCTCACATCCTTCTGTCTCTTCATGTAATCCCAGACACNATTAATACAATTGAGCGGGTTTAGAGGTACTTTTCGAGAAGAGTACTCCACTCTTCTATTCACAATAGAATTCCCTATGCCGCCAGGCTCGAAATTTTGGGCTTGGGCAACCTGGAACTGCGCCGTAAGCACAAAATGGTCTGCTACAATGTCAATGACTTCTTCAGTTTCAACCTCAATAATATACAGGCAAACAATAGATACAAACTCAAAGTAAACCATTCCAAACTCGATTGCAGAAAATACAACTTCAGCAACAGAGTAGTCAACGCCTGGAATGCTCTACCTGACTCAGTTGTTACTTCCTCAAACCCCCGTAGTTTCAACATTAAACTGTCTATTGTGGACTTCACCCTATTCCTAAGCAGTCCGTAAAGAGGGTGTGCATAAATGCACCAGCGTGCCTACTGTCCCTGTCCTACTGTCACCATTTATTTGTATTCATTTCTTTTGTTCATGTCCATGTTTATATTTATACCTGCTATTTTGTACATGCTTGACAAGCTAAGAAATACAAATACAAAATACAAGATAATCCAAGCAGATTTTGGTAAATGCAATGTGGTTTGATGCCAGACAGGGACTGTGCAGACTAGGTTCATATTCTTTAGCAGATTGTTAAGAAATGTATTAATATGGGCCTTCTGTGGGAAGCTGTGGCAAACTAAAGACAGGGCTGACAATAGCAGCAGAGACCAAGGAACTAGTAAGCAGAACACTTCTTTGGAACCTCTCTGAATAAGGAGAGGATGGGAGATTACCCACATATTCTCCAAACAGCTGCTGCTTGTCAGAAGACTGCAAGACAGCAATCTTCCACAGGTTTGAGCACTGGGGTATTAGACATCTTGGTCACTTGTTGAGATGAGCAGCTATAGAAATCCTGACAGCTCTCTACCCATCAGGTAATGTCATGATCTAACCCAGGTCACCACACATAACTTCTCCCTAAGGCCTTCAACCTGATTATGCCAGGATGGCCTTTGTGCAAACAACAGAGAATGGGTTTCCTTATCTGTGGGGGCACTACCACTCTATGGCCCCACAGCAAACACTTCCCTTGCAGAGACAACTCGTGCTGTCTGTGCTTGAATGGAAGAAGTTGGGAGGGAACCTGCGCCTGTGGCCAGCCTCTCTTGACCCAATCGATAACCTGAGCTATGGTAGGATCTTTGGCAGAACAGAGGGAAACATCGGTGGCTGAAAGAGGGACCGTAAGGTCCTCTATCAACAGGACATTAGAGTGAGGGACAGGATCAGACCCTACACCAGGGAGAGGGCAGTGACTCACTCGTCAATGCCCCTAGTAGTATTTATGCCAGCAATGCTGAGGCCCAAGGTGTCAAGCCAGTCTAAACCCAATAGACTGGGAAGAGTGCCCTGGACCATGATGAATGGCGGGTACCCTGAAAATTTTGTGGTGGCCACTTTAAATTTACCACTGCCCACAATGGGAATATTATTCCCTTGGTAGTCCCGCAATTTGAGGGAGCAAGAGGATAGGAGCTTCTTTGAAAGGGACAGCATCGATGCTTCAAGGTAGACCAGGATAGTATGGATCTGGATGAGCAGGTGTCCACTTCTATGTGACAGGGGTTGCCTTCAATGTGGACATCGAAGTAGATTTTACTGCCTGACATCGCATTGGCTTGACAACTAGCATCAGGTGAACGCCACTGGTCACAGAAAATTGCAAAACAATCTTCAGCGGTCTGATGTGCTTTGGTGGCTGGCGTACGATAGGCTGGACTATCATTGGCTTGGTTTCGAAAAGGGGGAGTCGAGCGGCACACCTTCGCCAGCGGCACACCTTCCTTTCTTTCTGCAATTCCAGCACACAGCATTTTAAAAATGGCACCAAGCACAGGGATGGTTTCCGCTGCAGCCTGCACAATAGTTCTGAGGCAACTCCTTCCTCAGGCACCCTGCTCTACCCCCCAGTGGCTTTAAGGTAGCTGACACCAGCCTTGTCAGGATCAGACAAGGGATCTTCAACCACCTCCTCCTGATGTACTTGCACAGTCTTAGGAGATGGCATTGCTGTTTGGAACCTCTGAATCTCAGCAGAGGATTCGTTTGACATTTCAGAAGCCCAAGCCTCATCTAACGCTGACTGGAGGCTGATGTCCTGATGGGCTAACAACTGGCGCCGAGTCTCACATCATTCACTCCACACACAAGTTGCTCTAACAAGGAGTCATCTAGGTTAGGGAAGTCGCAATGCAATGTGGCAGAGTGGAGGGCGGCCACTCTGTGATTTATGGACTCGCTTTCCTTCTGCAGTCTTTGCCTGAAAGCATAGCACCTCTCAGTGTGCGACGGTGCTGGAACATAATGGTTCTGTAACCTCTGCAATAGAACTTCCCAGGACAGGAATTGAACCGGCTGTGGGGCAGCTAAAGCCCGGGTTGTTCCAAACATTTCGCGCCCACAGACACTCAGGAACTGAGCCCTCTTCATATTGCTTGGTAGATCAGTGAGGCTGTTTGCTTCAAGGAAGCACTCAAACCATTCTATGTATGCCTCCCAGGACTCTGATGCCGGTGGGAAAACCACAAAGTTATTTAAAGTTGCCATTCCAATGTGGACACATCTGAGGAGATTGCCTCAGGAGTAGTTTAGCCAGCGAGGAAAGGGAAAGACAAAATTCAGCTTTACTGTGTTACGATCTTCCTATTCCTCAGTCAATCCCACCCTCGTTGCCAATATTAAATACCCAGAGGGGATAATGATGGAGGCAAGGCAGCGGTTTAAACCAACCGTTTATTAGCAACTGAACAACAACTTCAGAACCAAGACAAAACGACAGTTTCCCCGCTTGACAGCTATTTATA